TGAAAATGCATGGTAATGGGGTAATGGGTAATGGTTATTACACAAGAAATTGCAGATGGGAGCAACTGTATTCAGAGTCAGTGGCCTCCAAACCTTGCTTGCCAGGGTACCCCTCTGAGAATCATTCCTCTAGTGGGTTAACAATCTGAATTATCAATTGCTATAAGCTGTATTTATGTCCTGGCCCACAATGGCTCCTAACAGGACAAGTTTTTCACTTGCTTGGTTAGTGAACCCAAGATATTATACAATATTTGTGGCTATGGTAAAGGGTGTTGTTTTTCTGTTTTCGTTCTCAGTCTATTTATCAATTGTATATAGAAGGGCTACTGCTTTTGTTTTTTTTTTTGGGGGGGGGGATGTTAATCTTGTATCTAGCCACTTCACTAAAGGAGTTTTTCTTAACTATAGGAATTCCCTGGTAAAATTTTTGAGGTCATTTATGTATACTATCATATGCTCTGCAAATAATACTTCAACGTCTTTCTTTCCAATTTGGATCTCAATTGCTCACTAGAACTTCAATTATTATATTGAATAGATATGGAGAAAGTAGACAGCCTTGTCTTGTTCCTGGGTTTCTCTCTATTTAATTTGATGTTGACTATCAGCTTGAGATATATTGCCTTTATTCTGTATAGGTATATCCCTTGTATCCCTGATCTCTCCAAGACTTTCATCATGAAGGGGTGTTGGATTTTGTCAAAGGCTTTTTCAACATCTAATGAGATGATCATGTGATTTCCTTAAGTTTATTTATATGGTGGATTATATTGACTTATTCTCATACATTCAACCATCCCTGCATTTCTGGGATGAAGCCTACTTGATCATGGTGGATGATCTTCTTGATGTGTTCTTGGACTCGCTTTGCAAGTATTAAGTATTTTTGCATCTATGTTCATGAGGGAAACTGGTCTGTAATTCTCTTTGTTGAATCTTTGTATGGTTTGGGTATCAGGGTAATTGTAGCATCATAAAAAGAGTTTGGCAATGTTCCTTCTGTTTCTATTGTGTGGAACAATTTGAGGAGTATTGGTGTTAGCTCTTCTTTGAAAGTCTAGTATAATTCTGTGCTAAAACCTTCTGGCCCTGGTCTTTTTTGGTTAGGAGACTTTTAAGAACTGTTTCTATTTCATTAGGGTTTATAGGCCTATTTAAATTATTTATCTGATCTTGATTTAACTTTGGTAAGTGATATCTATCAAGAAAATTGTCAATTTCTTTTAGATTTTCCAATTTTGTGGAGTACAGGTTTTTGAAGTAAGACCTAGTGATTGTTTGTATTTCCTCAGTGTCCATTGTATTCCCCTTTTTATTTCTGATTTTCTTAATTTGGATATTCTCTCTCTCTTTGCCTTCTAGTTAGCTTGGATAAGGGTTTGTCTATCTTGTTGATTTTCTCAAAGAACCAACTTTTTGTTTCATTAACACTTTGCATTATTCTCTTTGTTTCTATTCTGGTCCAATCTATTTGGTGTTCTGTAAACTCCTTCTTTAGGTTACAAAAATTTTCTTCTATGATTTTGTTAAAAAATATCTTCTAGGCCTATGAGCAGGGATTCTTCTTCTTCTATTCCTATTATTCTTAGGTTTGGCTCTTTTCAGTGTCCTGGATTTCCTGGATGTTTTGCATCAGCAATTTTTTTAAATTTAACACTTTCTTTGACAGATGTATCAATTTCTTCTATCGTATCTTCTATGCCTAAGATTCTCTTTCCCTTCTCTTATATTCTGTTGGTGATGCTTGCATCTGTAGTTCTTGTTGGCTCACCTAGATTTTCCATTTCCAGGATTCCCTCAGTTTGTGTTTTCTTTACTGATTCTATTTCCATCTTCAGGTCTTGAACAGTTTTATTTATTTCCTTCACCTGTTTGCTTTTTCTGAGCTTTCTTAGCTTTCTTGAAGGAATTTATTCATGTCTTCCAAATGTTTGTATGTGTTTTCCTGGTTTTCTTTGAGGGATTTTGTTCCTGTAAAGATGATCCTGAACCTACTCCAGCTGAACAAATTATTACCAGTTCCCCAAAAGTAACACGAAGCTTACCACACAGCCTAGTTAACAGTGGTAAGCAGAAGTGATGAGAATGAAAAGACATTCCATTTCCAACGACACTCAAAACCATAAGCTCCTTGGGAAGACCCATATGTCAAGGCACTGTCCCGTACAGCTGACAAAACATTTCATGATCACCATCATGCAAAGGCCAGCCTTCCTGTGAGGTTTACACTACTCCTCCACACCCCTTGTCCTTGCTGACAACAGCTCATGAACCAACCACCCTCTTTATGGAGATTTTTTACATATGATGAATTAATCCCTTCATAATAGTACCATAACTGTCCACATGTCCACCCACCAAGCTAACCTCAGAATTACTTATTCAATTTCAGATCCTTTATGCACATTCACAATGGAAACCCAGTGGATGACTACATGGGCTTTAACTCTAAAAATCTGCCCTCAAAGAATTTCTGACGGAATAAAAACCCTCTAAAAATGGACCTTTAGCTCCAGCCTCTCTCTTTCATGTACCAGAAATACTTATTCTTCTACTCTAGTTGTACAGCAGTACTCCCAAGCCCCCACACTGGTCTACATCAGTCTCCCCATCTGTGTTTGCCTATCGCTGCTCAATTCTACTTCTCCCAGTTACATCGACTCCTCCAGACCACCCCTGTCAGTGAACATGCTCAACAGTGTCTTCCAAAGCCTGCAGAGAAAGAGATGCATTATCTACTGTTAGACCCAAGACCCTTACATTTCCTTGTGGACCTTTGCTGTGAAACAAAAGGAGCACATTTTTACTTCTTTTAGTTTATCACATGTGACACTAAATATTTTATTTTTATTTTATTTTCTGTGTAGGGGTATTTTGACTGCATGTATCTGTGCACCATAGACATGCCTGGATCCCATGGACATGAGAAAAGGCATTGGATCCCCTTGAACTAGAGTTATAGACAGTTGGGAGCCACCATGTGGTGCTGGGACTGAATCCGGGTCCTCTGGAAGAGCAGCCAGTGTTGTACTTGCTGAGCAATCTCTCCAGCCCCGTGGTCATACTTTTCTTGAAATATCCTGGGTTTCCAAGATATCATTATCACCTAATTTTCCTCTGTCTCTCATGTAGTCTTTTATTTTTATTGTCTAGACCCTCTTTCTCAGTTATTTCTTTAAATGCTGGCATTCTAAAGAGTTGTTCTCCTCTTTGGCCTTGTACAATGCCCCAAATCTTGTGAGAGAACCTAACGCTCATGAGTTCCTGCTTCCTACATACTTTTGTTCTCATTTCAATTTCCCCTCACCTCCTGACCCTGTATGTACTCAAGTGCTTTATACCTAGACTTTCCTAATTAAGTATAAGACCCTCCCACCTAACTCACCATAGTAAGAAACTAAATTTGACATTGTTCTCTCCAGATTTTCTGTACTGTCTGAACGTTCTAAGTTCACAAATAGTGACATTATTCACCTACCCACCAAACTTACTACCCATTTGGTTTTGGTTCTAAATCTTTCCCAGAACAGCCAAGTGACAACTCAAGCAGTTGACTACATGGGTTCAAATCATGTCTCTAGTATTCTCCAGGCATGTTATTACTTAACACTTACGTCTCAATTTCCTTGTGAGTGAGAAAGCAATGCACACTATTGTCAGGGGTGATGTATTCAACTATTAGCTCATATAGCTAATAGTCCTTATAGCTGTAACTGACACAAATTGCTCAAAAATATTTCCTAACTGTATTACTGTAGTAGCCAGCATATAATCTGAGCTCTTCTTCATACCCTAATTCCAGTTTTATTCATGTCCTCATCCTTCTAAAGGGCTATTGCACCTAATTTACTAAATATTAAAATACAAGTTTTTCAGAGTTTTCCATCTCCCATTTGGGATGTTAGCTTAGGTGACAGCATGTCACAGTTCCACATGTAGGAGACAGTATTTTTTTTCTTAGTGGCATGCAACAATAGTGCACCTTAAAACTGTAGTGTCAAGGACTATTAGTGAAACCTCACCTATTTGTCTACCCTTCCTTCTGATCTGCCACATCAGTTAATGGTCCTACAATGGCTACTGCCAGAGGGTTAGACAAAACTCTGAAAAAAACTATGAAACAGTGTTTTATAGGTACCAGCTACCTCAATATCATGTTCTCTTAATCTTAAGTACTTCTACAGTAGTAGTTGCATTGCAAAAACTTCTGAAGGAAAACGATTGCTAAATTTCAACAATTTATCCATTTGTTCACCCATTAAACAAATATGTGCAAGGTATCAGAAACTATCTGAGGCTCTGATCCCACAGCTGAAACAAATCTCATGAGTTTCACTCTGACTAAAGGAAATTAAGAACGTAAGTATGTAATATAGAACCTGCACCATTTATGTAGGATAGAAGAAAAGTAGGAAGGTGGATAAACTGAATGCACCTGACAGCCATGTGATATCAATGACTGCCCCGCATGGTGACAATGCCAATGACATTAGACTTTCAAAACATTTCCACAAATTCAAGAAATCTCAACCAGGAAGCATTGATTGAAAAGAGAAAGAGGAAATCACAGAGGCCTTGGGTTCTCACAACCTACTTGCTGTGTAGCTTTAGTTACCATACAAATGAGGACTGTGGCTATAGCTTCTGTGGCCTTGACAAGTCTTTGCCTTTTGTATTTTAGGAGGTCATAAATGTTGAATGAGGGCACATTTCAGGTCCAGGACTTACTGCCACCTCTACCTTTCCTGAACTCCCAAAATAGCTAAATGTTCTCTTTAAAGGGCTCCCATGCTCTGAAATAGACGCTCCCAGGTGGCTGCTATAACTCATTTCGACCTGGCCAAACAGGCATGAATAAACCTCTTTATTGTTGGTTTTATCTTCCCTGCAATGCTTGGAAATACAGAATGATCTCTAAAAGTTCAAGCTTTATTAACTTCATGAGGCACCAGAAAAAAAATTCTGTCAGTATCATCAAGATAATTAAGCACAGGTACCTTCAGTGTCCTGATATGATTCTCTGCTTCACTCTTTTCTTTCTTAAAGTGCTTCATCAGCTCCTGGATATTCTGTTCGTGCTTCGTTTTCACGCTGTGCAGTGAGGATGTGAGATCTTCCAGCTCCCTCTGGTGAACGTCTCGTTCTAAGTTTAACTGTGTGATAATGGTAGCCATTTCTTCCTCTTTGGACTTGGTCTGGGCCATCAGTTCAGAAAGGTCCTTGAACACAGCTTTCTTGGCTCTCTCTTCTTCGGCCAATTTATTAGCAAGATCGGCTCGGATGGTACTCAAGTCCTTGATGGACTCCTGCATCTCAAGAAGTTTGACTTTGTCCTGGGCCTGGCTCATCTTCAGCTCTGCAATTTCTTCCTCCAGGTGAATCTTCTCAGCTTTTATCTGGCTTTGAATCTTATTCTGTCTTTTCAATTCACTTTCCAGCCGATGGATGGTGTCAAGGGAATTCTTGACCTCCAGTTCAAGTTCAACTTGGTGAGATTGAACATCGCTGAGTTTCTGGTCCTTACAGTGAAGCTCCTCCTGCTGCAGGGCATGCTTGGTTAGGACATCATTCAGTTCCTTCCTGAGATTCTCGATCTGTTGCAATGCTCCATAAAACTGGCTTTTCAATTCATCTTTCTCTTTTAGAAGCTAGTGGGTCATGGATACAAAATGAAAAGATGGTTACTGCAAAATTTACCACAGATCTTCCAAGTAACAAGATCAAACCTAATCCATAAGAAGAAGAAAATTTCACTAAATCATATTTAGCCTTTTTTAATGAAAAATATTTTAGGCTGGAAATGGGATAAGCACATAATCATTATATAGCTACATAAAATCACATATTATACTACCTCACTGGTATAAACATGTATTTCAAATACCTATTACCAAAATGTACTAATCCATAATGATCAACAATTACTTAAATGGAAGATAAAATCAAGCAAAGGAATGAAGAGGGAAAAAAAAAAACCTCTGTTGTGACTTACTACATACTGAAATATTAAAACATTGTTTAAAATAACAGTAATGTATATTTCAGTGAGACACTCAAAAAGAAGAGATAAACAATAATATGGGGAACCTAGACAACATCAAGTATGTTATGATACATGTGTGTCCCTTGTGATAAACTAATCAAATAATGTCAATGTCTGATAAGAAACCCAGCAACAAACAACAAGAAACCTGGAGAGCCCACAAAGATGGACATAAGCTCTTTACGGAGTGGGAAGGAACTCAAGGGAAATACATCTCCTGGAGGGGAAGTGTAAACTGGGTGACAGAGGCCAAGAACCAACCATCCTGGTGTCTGATTCTCAGAGGCCAAGAACCGACCATCCTAGTGTCTGATTCTCAGAGGCCAAGTACCGATCATCCTGGTGTCTGATTCTCAGAGGCCAAGAACCGATCATCCTGGTGTCTGATTCTCAGAGGCCAAGAACTGACCATCCTGGTGTCTGATTCTCAGAGGCCAAGAACCAACCATCCTGGTGTCTGATTCTCAGCATGTTCATTTCAAAAGGCAACAGTGGCCAGTGGAGCCAAAGCTGTTTCCGCCACACACTGACCAGGAGCGATGTTTATGCTTGCTGCCCAAGCTCAACACACCCTCCTTGCTATGATTTTCGTCGTTTTAGTTTTTGTTTTTCACTTTTACTTTTAACAGAGAAAAATGCTGTGTATACTTATGAGATGCAGTAAGGTAAATATTAAGGTTCCTTTCAGAATCTGGAAGGTCAATTTGAAACAGACTTTACAAAGCTACATAAAATCACATATTCATACATATTTGTCCAGAGGGACAAAGGAGACCACAACAAACAGGGAGGGGTAAGAAATAGATGGTAGGGGACCATGAGGGAAAATGTATTCAACACACTATATATATATACATACACATAAATGAAATAATAAAAGGAAAAAAGAAAGAAAGGGGGGGTGACTAAGCTGTGACCTTTGACCTGAAAAAACTGAATTTTGCTTATCAGTTCTGCCATAAATAGGACCATGGACTTAAATTTTTTAAACATTTATCTTCAAATAAAAAACAATTAATTCATGCTATGAATCAGCACAATGGTCTCTGAAGGCTAGAACCATGTTCTTAGACTCCTCAGCCTCCAGAACTGTGAGCCCAATAAAATTCTATTGTTTACCCTCAGTCTGTGGCCTCCTGGTACAACAGGTTAATAGCCTCATATAAGTTGTAATAACAAATACAGTTCCAGAAATTAAAGACAAACATCTTGTTAAGGGAATCATTATATTTATGCTACTAAGGAAGATGAAAACACCCTGTAAGGATAATAGGGCCATATTCTAAGAGGAGACAGCTTAAGTACATGGACTTAACCCAAGCCATGAGTTAAGAGGCTTTCAGATAGAGATGAAGGCTGGAGTCTCATGACAAAACTATCTGGTAGAACATTCTCTCCTGAAATTGGTTGAAACAGCAAAAATTCTTCTAAATACAATGATTTAGTAACAGTCCTTTGAATCCCAGGCTCTGCTACTTTACAACTGTCTAGGGTTCACCATCTTCACAGTGTTCTAAAATCCTATCAATTTACACGAGAATGGACAGCTCAAGCTGCAGAGAAACAGGACACTAGTCAGGTCCGGAATGTTCTTCGGTAATATAGACGCTGAAAACCAAGTAATATTCGCATATTTACTTCTGACTAAGGGCTAGGTGTGGTTGGTTTAAAAAAAAAAAGTGAATAAAAGAAGTGATAAATCCCAGATGGAGATTCTGGAACTGAAGGTGAGAAAGAAGAACTATTATAGACGAAGAATAATCTGAATTGTACGAATCAGTAGCTCAAGGAGAGCCACTGGAAGATCACTGTGAAGGAGGACAACAGAGAAGAGTAAGATACGGACTTGAATGAGATCCTGACAAATTCTGAATGACGACAAGAATTACTTTTAAGAAATAGAAAGGAGACAGGTGCCAAACCCCTTGAGAGAACTGGAAAAATAATGGGGCGGGGTGGGGGGTGAGGGCCACAGATGGCAAGCTGTGAGGAGTAAGAATGAGAAAAGAATGTTCTAGCCAGGCAAGCACAAGAATGATAAAACCTTGGTAGGAGCAGAAAGAAGGGCAGCGCCTGCAAGGCCTCACACTAATGTCCATATCACCATTTTAATTTTACTAAGAGGTTCATAGATGAGGTTTCAATGTTATTCTCCTTTTGAAAAAAATGCAGAAAATGCCAGTACTTCCCTGAACTGCATCGCACAGGCTGCATCACAGGCTCAAAAAGTGGAACACATTAGCAATGAGCCTTCTCACCTTAAACTATTAAAATAGTTCAGATCTCAGGGCGCAGGATATAACATCTCTCAGCAGGGGAGAAATTCGTAGACAGAAAAGACCGCGAGTGAAGATTCTTAAAGTCAAACACGATCAAGCAAAAAGCTCAATACACAAGCAGGCCCAAGATTGCACCAACTCAGCAGGAGAAAGAAAAGAAATACAGAGAATACTAGCCATACTGATTCTAGCAGAAGAAAGCTTGAGGAAAACTAGGGACGTACACACTACGATCAAATTTGGACTTCTAATTCTTCCTCTTTATTTTTCAAAGCACATCTGAAAACCAACCATTTCCAAGAGCACTGAGAAAGAAAACAAGAAACTGAACAGTCCTAACAGCCAGGTCACTGGAGCCAAACACTGCAGTCTCCCTGTGTGTTCATCCACACACTACTCAGGGGCATCATGGTCCCTGGTCCTTGTTTATGTCCTCTTCCTTGAAGGGAAAAAAATGGCCTGGACTTAATTTCTTTTTGATGCCGTTTTTCTGTGATTACACGATTTTTGGTTAAAATTACATGTCCTTTAGTAAGTAAAATAGTTTTGGGCCATGTGACCAAGATTCCCTAAATGTACATAAGAAGAATAGAAATCAGGGGAATTTGAAGAGAAAAGAAGCATTTAGTCTTTTAACACATTTTTAAGTGGCAAATCTTAAAGCAGAATATAAATTATGCTACAAAGAGAAACAGACTAGGCATAAGAGCATTTTACAAATAAAAAAACTGTATCATTTAACTACACAAAATGGATCAACAAAGCTACAAAGATATTTATGAAATAATTCATTCATTCTTTAAACCATAAGATGCTATATTTGTATCATTTTTCCTTTAAAATATACTTTCAAATATACCCAAAAGTCATTTTATTAAACTAATTAGCCCCAAAAAGTGGACTAGCTATGCCTTAAGGTGTCTTTGTGATTTTTCTTAAAAATTAAATATTAAGTAAATATTCTGTAGCTGGACGTTTTCCTGTGTTTCACCCAGTCCCGCAGCCACTCAGACCCAAGTAAACACACAGAGGCTTATATTAATTACAAATTGGATGGCCTATGGCTCAAGCTTCTTGCTAGCTAGCTCTCATATCTTAAATTAACCCATTTCTATTAATCTATGTTTTGCCACGTGTTCCGTGGCTTACCTGCTGGCATGTTATTCCTTGGGTGGCAGGCTGGCATTTTTCTGCCTCTCCTTTACATTCCTGTCTCCCTGCCTGGATTTCCCACCTGCCTCTAAGCTGCCTTGCCATAGGCCAAACAGCTTTATTTATCAACCAATCAGAGCAACACATATTCACAGCATACAGAAAGACATCCCACACCAATATTCCTTATAGGCAATATTCACTAAGCTTCTCTCTCTCTCTCTCTCTCTCTCTCTCTCTCTCTCTCTCTCTCTCTCTGTGTGTGTGTGTGTGTGTGTGTGTGTGTGTGTGTGTGTGTGTGTTACTGGGAATTCAACCTGGGGCACTGAATATGCCAAGTGTGTACTGTACCACTGACCTATGACCCCAGCCCAACATCAGGATGTCGTCCTCTATTTACTCTCCACCTTATTATTTTAAAGCAGGTTTCTCATTGAACCTAAAGCTTGATATTTTGACTAACCAGACTGGTCAGGAAGTCCCTCAGATGCACCTGTCTCTGATTCTCAGTTCTGGGATCACAGATGTGTACGACTGTACCTAGCTTTTAGATAGGTTTTTAAGACCCAATTGCAGGTTTTCATACTTGTACAGCAAGTATGTACTAGCTACTGGATACTTTTAAAAATTTTCAAAATTATTCACCACATATTTGTACATCACAGATTTACTGGACACTTGCAGCCTCTGTGAAACATTTCTAATCCTTTCTCCTTTGATTAACCATTGCTCGAACTGCGACATGCCGCATTAATTTTTAAGGTTTTTAAAGGATAAATTACAATGCCTGCTGTGATAATTGTAATCCTACCCTAACTGCAGCAATCATTTTTAAACTACTGTGCTTATCATCAGTAATGATAAATGAAAAAAATAATTTTATCAGGAAGATTCTGGGAAATTTTTTAATAATTTTAATATTCTGAAAACTCAATCTAACACGTACTCAGCACCATTAACTGGGATACTGCCTGGTGACACGGACCCTTCTAAACTACCTCTAATGAAGCAAGATCCACAGATAGCTCCCAGTCAATCAACAGCTACTCTCTGCTCTCTAGCTGCCTTCCCTTACAGGCATGGTCTCAGAACCAGTTGCCAGGCCAGACCAACAACAAGATAATCAAGGTAAAGGAATTTTCTAGGATCCAATCAATTTAGATTAGCACAAAAGCTTTAGGACTGATTTACCTCCTGGCAACCCGTCACTCACTGTGTGTCAGATGAGTTAAAACAAAAAGCACTCCACAATGAGCAGGCTTCCCTGATCTTGAAACTGAGAAAATGCATATTTAAACGGTAAAGCATCATGGTCATGCCATTTGACCCAAAATAAGCATCTGCCATTATAAGTAATGTCAACGGATCCTATAAATGTAACTGTCCTGAATTTTCCTTTTTTTGATGCTATTGTTATTATTTCCAAAGAGAGTTCACTTAACCAAATGGTTATTCTGGACTATTTTGAGTTCTTGACAAACAACAAAGTATATATGATAATCCTAGACCAAACATAGACAAACATCAATCATGACTTTGTGTTTTATTCTTTTTAACATCTGTGTTTAGTTTGAACCAAAGAGACAGTTGAAAATCAACACAGGATCATTAAATCTATTTAAAGTAACTGATTGTGCAAAAGACAAGATAATGTGGATACATACCAAGATTAGCACAAGGATTTCTGTTGCTGTTAGGAGAGCATAAAAAAGGAGCCTTGTGATCTGCTGGCATTGCTCTGCCAAAGACACTCTCAATGTCCCCATTTACATCAGCCTAAGATAACACCTCCCAGAATAACTCAATAGTCACTGCTACAGTTTTAACCCTCTCCTTTCCACCCTGGCCTTAAGTCAAAATACTCAAACCAATGAGACTGGAAAACATATGCTGTAGGGGGAGAGTCATAATGCTAAGGGAGATTAAGTGACTTTTCCTCTGGAAAGTTAGAATATCGAAAAATAATTCAAATTAGGGAATTCACAAGCTAAACTGAGATGGTAGAAGATTCCTTCTCAATTCTGAAAAGTCACCAAATATTAAAATAGTTTAGAAGATTTGAAAAGTCCAAACACTAAATAATGTTTTCCCTTCAACTAGACAATACTTAACGGCTTTTTGTCTGAGACTTATCAATAGCTGTAGACACAGCATCGTCCTCAGGTTTAATTCAAAGGATGGATGAACAAAGGATTAGGCATCTGGCTCTTATACCTGATTGTTCTTTTCTGTCAGCTGGTCAAGGGTTTCAGCTTGTTTCTCCAATGCCCGCTCCAGCTTCTTATGCTTCACCTTCCACTGGCGGATGGAGTCCTGGGCCTTCGTTTTCAGATCTTCTCGCCTCTTCTCTGCCTCCTCTCGCAGGGCCTCCGACCTCTGGAACTCACTAAGGTAGTGTTCTGCCTGCTTGGTCGCATCCTCTGCATGGCGAGTCAGCTCTGAGATCTGGAGGTCATTGTGCTTACGATCAGCCTCACAGGTCTCAAAGTGATTCTGGATCTCCTTAAGTTGATCCAACATCTGCAACTGTTGTTTTTCCCTGTTCTCCAAGTCACGTGTTAGAGTCTAGAATTAACCACATGGAATATTGAGATGAAATTCTTGTCAAGGTTGGGTGTGTACAATGCAAACCAAGACACTCTACTGTCACTGAGACAAAAGCCATCACTACCCAGTTTCATTCACAATCAGTCTAGAATGTAGGCTTCCTTTCTGCATGTTTAATAGTCAAATTAACTGGGGATAAACTATTACCTATCTTTCTAATTGTCACAAAATTAGAAGGCAGTGCTGAGAAAAACATGTTATTTTAGTAAAAATCTACCTACTGCTTTGTTCAACTGAAGCAAAGTCAGTGATTTAAGATGTGTCAGATTATTAAAAACACTGAGAAGCAATTGTGCAGCGTTTCACTTTCTGGCAGCACATGAAAATTATTATGATAAAATAATAAATCAATAACAATAAAATGAGCATTGATGACGGAAGCAGCATGTTGATAACACTGTGTTTAACAGCTCCTTTCAAAGATACCCTGTGAAGGGGTCACAGTTATTTCCAGCCATAGCAATGTGATATAAGTCTGGACAGTTCTCTCATGCTGTTAGGAACTTCTGCAGTACACATTTGGAAATAAACTTATTCAGGACATTTCTTTAGTCAAGGCAAGTATCTTTAAACCTAGATTTCTTCCAACAGGGTGGGGTAGGTAATTTTTACATTTGAAAATTTACACTAAATCATGATGGACAATAAATATTTAATATGATAATTAAATATTGAATGCAAAAATGAGAATAATTGGTTTTATACAAGTACAACAATGTTACTTCACTCAAAACTTTGTAAGGAAGTCACAAGTACAGAAATTAAGTATTCATAATGTTTCACAAGAGATATCCCTCCTGACAGTCATTTCCCTACACCTAGAAATAACAAATAACTCTAAAATGTCATTGGTCTAAAAACTAATGAATCCAACAGGCTAAAAAGATGCTGTGATTCAGAGGAGCAATGAACACTATCTATGTACTGGAGGCATTGACAAATAGGCAGGCTAGAAGCACTTACAGAGTTCTGGCCTCAACAGCAGCATTTTTCAACCTCAATTTCATTAACCACGATCAGTGGCTCAAAACTAAGCATCATCTGCCCTGAATTTAATGATAATCAAGCTATAATCCATAGAACTACAAAGATTAGGTATAGAGTAAGGAAGTAAGGGGGACAGAAAGATCTCCTTAGGAAGGGGGAAAGAATAGTTACAGATGGGTGGGGAGGCTGGAACAGGAGAATCACGTGGGGAGGAGGAGGAGAGAGAGGGGCAAAGGATGGAATACAGGGAGAGACAGCTATACCTAAGGGCCATTTGAAGGATATTATGGAAACATAATACAGTAGAAGCTTCCTAAAATATAAGCATATTGAAGGTAATCTAAATGAAATCATCAAGTAACGGGGGGGGGGGGGGGGGGGGAGACACAGGAACCCAGCAGGCCATCTCTTGTTACCAAATGAAGCTCCCAGTACTGGGATTAGGTTAATCTAATTGAGTTGTTGGCCAAAGGGGTCCCATGGGAACCACCAAACAACCTAGGCTGTTGCCAAGACTACAGGTTGCTCTCCACAAACTGACAACAATGCCCCATTGCTGAAGACAACACCTACACAACCTATTGAACATGGAGTAGTTGAGCTGGTGCCTACATAGAGCCTTCACCCCTACCTGCTACCATCTTTGTTTGGTATAGGACGGCACTGCATGCTAACAAAAGAGAAACATAAACACCAATCCAGTTACAAATCCTTTGATCTACAATAGAGTCTGACCTGTGAGATAAACTAGAGCAATAGTGGCACAAGGCTTGTGGGAACAACCAACCAATTTCTGATATGACTTACGGCCCACTCTATAAGATGTAATCCATATCTGATAATGCTTGGTTGACCAAGAACCTGAGACTGGATAGTCCAGACACCTAGAGTAAAACCAAATACTACTGTTCTAAATAAATAAATAAATAAATAAATAAGAAGAAAAGTAGCAATAAAATGACTCCTAATGACATTCTGCTATACTCATAGACCAGTGCCTTGCTCAGCAATCATCAGAGAAGCTTCTTTCTGCAGCAGATGAGAACAAATACAGAGACCACAGCCAGACATAATGCTGGTTAGAGGCTTGGAACACTCAGCCCTAAATGGGATGTCTCTACCAAATCCCACCCCTAAGGGCTCCAGAACTCTGCAGAAGAGGAGGTAGAAGGAGTATAAGAACCAGACGAGATGTAGAACATCAGGAAAACAAAATCCTCTAAATCAGCATGAGCAATGATCTTATGAATTCACAGAGACTGAGACAGCATGCACAAGGCCTGCACGGGTCTGTACCAAGTCCTTTATGTATATGTTATGGCTTTGAGTTTAGTGTTTTTATGAGTTCCGGAGTGTGCAAACAAATGGGTCTCTAATTCTTGTACTTTCTCTTGGGTTCTTTTCCTTGTTTGTTTGTTTTTTAATCCTATTCCAATGTTTTAGTTTTTGTTTTAACTTACTATATTTTATTTTATTATTGTCCCTTAGAAGCCTATTTCTTTTCTAATGAGAGACAAAAAAGGGGGCAGATTCAGATGGGAGAGAAGTTGGGGAGGAACTGGGAGGAGTAGAGAGAAGGGAACCATAATCGGGCTATATTACGTGAGGAAAAAAAACTTTTTCAATATAAATAATAAGTCAGTCTGACATTATAACAAAAATTATTTTTTAAACAAATAACCATTCCTTGAAAACAGGGTTCATTTTCAGAGCAACGGGTTTGCATCTGCTCAGTTCACCAAGTTCAAGGCAGCCTGGAAGACATGAGTCACTCCTTTGTCCACCCAAATCAAACAGGAAACTGAGAACTGTGCCTTGTTTGCATGGAAAATTCTACACTGACATCAGAAAACTCTAGTGATTGTGGTTTACCAAATATTTGCCCTTTTTTGAAAAGCTTTACTAATATTCTAGAAATCAACCCCATTAATGGGCAACAACCACATGATTCCACATTTGATGACAACAACAAAAAAAGTAAACTTTGTTGTTTCCTTCTTGTCTCTTTTGGCAAGAAATAACTTAAAAGAAGAACAATTGTAACTACCCTGTGCCAGATACCTGGCTCCTAGATACAGTGTAAATACCAAAGAAACTGACAATTTAGTTGGGAAGGTATTCACAACCAACCTCTATATCACATTCAACAACAGTGAAAGCTAAAAGATGGTTCAGAACTGTCTACAGGTTTACATTCTATAGTCAGGCCTCCATGCTGTTGCACATTTTGGTGGCAGGCAACCAAGATTTGCTACATTTAAAAACCAGTCCAAGATGATACACTCTGTATGTGAAGGAAAGGTGCTGGACACAGTCTGATTCCAGAGCCTCTGTTTGTCAACTTTTGCTAAACCACCTGATCCTCAAAGGCCCCTGAATCCAATAATTATCAATAACTAAATCCTTTAGTTATCAATCCCACAGTTCCATCCTCACGTAGAACTGTCCTCTTTAAGGCAAGGTCCTCCTCGTACTCCCCTTGTCCCTGGGTAGATGCTAACTACCAATCTACCCAGTTCCTCAACTCCCTTCCTGTTGCTAAACCTGATCATTTAGGAGAGGACCTTTCCCTTGGCATCCTTTTTGTGAGCTTTCAAACCTGGGTTGCTAACTTCCATATTCTTTCACTTTAGTCATTTTCTTGCTGACATCTCAAACTCTTTCTAAACTGTTCAACAACAAAACCACCAGCTGTGGGTGAACTAGGCAGTTTCCTAAGCCCTACCACAAGCTCTGAATCTCTTAAGGAGAAAAACAAGTCACACAAGAAGGAGTATCAGTCAATTCAATCACAAATCAAGAGCCACTCATCAGCACTCAGAAAATTTTCCACACCACCATCCAATTTTTTTTTTTTTTTTTTTTTTGGTTTTTCGAGACAGGGTTTCTCTGTGTAGCTTTGCGCCTTTCCTGGAACTCGCTTTGGAGACCAGGCTGGCCTCGAACTCACAGAGATCCGCCTGGCTCTGCCTCCCGAGTGCTGGGATTAAAGGCGTGCACCACCACCGCCCGGCTCACCATCCAATTTAAACAATGATCATTCCAAACTATCTCATTTAATACTCTAACATCTTTCACCCACTTTTAATATGCAAGCCAGCTCTTCCTTCATAGGCCAAATTGAGGCAGTCACGGCAGGACACCACCAAAACAATCTACCTGTACAATTCTGAACCTTACCAATGACTAATCTGTCTTCTTCTGAGACCTCTAGAAGACCCCGTCATTACTCTACAAATAAGCCAGGAATGCTACTTTCTAGAGGCAACTTCTACCCTGAAGAACTCTATATTTAGAAGACATAGAATTATCTCAGTCCCTGTAGCATATCACTTCATGGCGTTTATTCCCTGTTTAAATGCCATCAAAGGAGAAAGTCAAAAAAACACAGAAACACACATCTAAGAATTCTTTCTTATACATTATCAAAATGTTATTAGATCTTCCAACTAAATCTGAAACTTTACATAATTCAATTCCATTTCTATTCTCATTCTTCAAGGGCAAGAAAATGTTGGTGAGTACTTATGTTATAGACCTCAGATTTGGTGAGATCTCAAAGGATATAGAGGACTCAACACATTATAGTCAGACTTATGATAAAATTTAGTAAGAGGAAAGGATACCAAGAAAAATCAGCAAAGGAAAGGGGAAGAGAGGCTGAAATCCATGGAAAATAGGAGTTAGTATCCGGTTCTCTCTCCCAGTGGAGTTAAATGTGAAATGCACAATCCCTATAGCAGGGGAATTAACCATACCTATAAAATGTCGTCAATTAGGAAAACTCATTAGAAGCACCAACTATGGGATTTAACTATGGGATGGTCTCATAAGCACCATTTGCCTATCAGATATCAAGACTCAAAACTTCAACACAAAAACAAACAACAACAAAAACCCCCAGATAATATGGTGATATTTTATTTGTATTAAAATGTTATTTGTATGTTAATAAATAAAGTTGCCCGGGG